GCAAGGAATTAAAAAAAAAAAGTCCCGGAGTTGATTCCAACTAACCAAAGTCCAGTGAGTTGATTCTGACTGTGATCCTATAATGCAAAGTGGAATTGACTAGTTTCCAAGGTTGCAAATCTTTACTAAAGTAAAAGCCAACTAGCACATTCTAACTGCTCCTTTAAAACTCTTGGCGCTTTGGTACGCAGCCAAGGATTTTAAACCACGGTACCACCATGGAATAACTGTTAAAAAATTAAGGAGCACTAATGTAGTTTACCAACAATAGAAGAGAAAGGAGGCCACCTACCTTGAGGTAGAGGACTGGAATGAGGAAGATGAGCCTTGAATCCTTATCGTGATTGGAGTGTGTTAAAGTCTTAGACCTGAGCTGGCATGAGCCTTGGCTGAAATGGTAAGCATTTCTTGGAGAGAGGGTAATTTTCTGAAATTCCCAAACACAAAAGAGAAGTTTGTTGCTTTGGGTACATTTAAGGAGAATACAGAAAGTACTATAGATGATTTACTAAAATATCTGTAATATTTTAAATAAAATATCTGTAATATTTAAAATAAAATACAGAATACTTGGATATATTAAAGGTCTTCTATGTGCAAAGCATTATAGTAAACTAAGTGCTGCGAGAAATCTCAATGGGGGATGATGGTCTTGCATAGCAAAGGAGATAAGATGGAGGCAAGGAGTAACACCCATGGAATGTGACAAGCCTGAAAACTAAGGTGAGGCGCTGTAAGGTGAAGGGCTAACTCCTGGTGGGGGCTAGGGACATGCTTCTGGAAGGTGCAAGTACAGTTGCCCCCCTGTGTAGGAAGAGGTTGGCCTTCAAAAGGGCTTCTTCTTACATGCGGAATAAGCAGTTTTGCATCTATTTATAAATTAATCTCAGCGTTCTTTATTGCCTTTATAGGCACCGTTCTTAGAAGATACCTTTGGACCTGTTGTAACATCTTATTGCTTCTCTAGTAATTAATTGCTTCTCTAGTTAACTAAATAAAATCTTTGACACATGTTCACTGTATAGTATGACAGTCATGGGTTTAACAAACATTCTCCTTCAACAAAATAAGAGCAGTAGCTTGGCCTTCAAGATGTCAAAGGCCAAAAAAAAAAAGATGTCAAAGGCTTAAACATATATACAAAGCACTGAAATGAAAATAGAACCACAATTGAAAGATCAATGCAATGATTCTAATATAATTCCTATTTAGTTAGTTTGTATGCTTGAAATTAGCTTGTGTGTCACAAAAGAATTTAAGTCGATTTCAGTTTTACTTTTCTTATTTTAGTAAGCACTCAGTATTTAGGTCTGTGGCAGGGGGCTTAAGATTGTGACCTCTCTCTGTCTCTCTCCCTCTTTTAAATTTAAATTTTATTCGTTTTCCCTTTTTAAAACTATGTTTACTCATTAGTTTCCCTAACACATACAAAGAATAGCACACTCTATGTGGCTGCACAGTCCACCACACCAAAACAGTGACTAGTCCAGTAAACCCCTCCATTTTATGTGGTTCTTTCTTCTTTTTTCACTCGCGCTCCCTCCTTACTTTCTTGTCCCCCATCGCTGGCCTCAACACAGTCTTCTAAGTGCATTCCACTTTTTCCTTTATAATAATGTGTCATGGAATATTGATGAGACTGACTCATTTTGCCCAGGCATAATTTCCTCCAATTCTGGCCATATCAAGAGGTGTTTGACATACTTGAGATTGTTTTTTAAGGATGAATAATATTCCATTGGGTGCATGTACAAGAGATTGTTTATCCATTCCTTACAGACTTTTAAATTGTTACTACTTTTTTGCTATTGTAGAAATTGCTGTGATAAACTTGGGCATGCATATATCTGTTCACATTTTGTTGTTTATTTCTGTAGGGTATGCAAGTAAAGAGATAGCAGAGTCATGGGTTATTTGTATTTGCAGTTGTTTAAGGAAGCACCAGTCTGGATTCCATAGTGGTTGTACAATTATACAACCGCAACAGCTATGCAAGAGCATTCCAATCTCTCCATATCCTCTCCAGCATTTATTATTTTCTGTTTTTAAAAATTTAGCTTAGAGTATAAATTCAATTTTTCCAGCATCATTTATTGAAAACGTTATCTTTTGCCCTCCTAATATGTTTTAGCACTTTATCAAAAATCAGGGATCTGTAGGTGCTTGGTTATATTTATGGGTTCTCTGTTCTAATCCATTGGTCTATATACCTTTCATTTTCTCTCCATAAGTCTATCTTAAACCGAAAGTACTGAAGAAAAAATTCAAGCTTCAAGTTACAATACTGAAAGATTCTATAGGCAAAATGTTGAATGATGCAGGAAACATCAAAAATGATGGAAGGAATACACAATCACTGTACCAAAAAGAATTAATTGGCCTTTAATCGTTTCAAGAGGTAGCATATGATCAAGAACTAAAGGTACTGAAAGAGGCCCAAACTGTACTGAATCCATTAGTCAACAACAACGTTCCAGGCATTCCAATGGAAATGTTTCAGCGCTAGTAAGAAAATGCCAGAAGTACTCACTGATCTATGCCAGGACATTGGAAGACAACTACCTGACCAACTGACTGGAAGAGACCTATAATTGTACCCATTCCAAAGAAAGGTGAGCTAAAAGAAGGTGCTTTTTTTTTTCTGAACTAAACAATGATATCACTCAAAAAACTCACTGCCAGGGAGTCAATTCTGACTCATGGAAACCCTAAAAATTTAAGTAAATTTTTGCTGAAGATCTTTCAACAACTGTTGCATCCATAGAGTGACAAGGAATTGCCAAAAATCCGGGCCAGACTCAGAAGAGGTTGTGGAACAAAGAATACTATTGCTGAATGTCAGATGGATCTTGACTGAAAGAAGAGAAACCAGAAAGATGTCTGCTTGTGTTTTATTGACTGTACAAAGGCATTTGACTGTGTGGGCCGTAATAAACTAGGGATAGCCCTGAGAAGAATGGGAATTCCAGACCACTTCATTGTGCTCACGTGGAACCTGTTCATGAATCAAAGGCAATTTTGCAAAGAGAATATTGCATGATTTAAAATCAGAAAAGGTATGAGTCCGTGTTGTATCCTCTCACTATACTTAATCAATCTGTATGCCGAGCAGATAATCCGTAGGCTGCACTATATGAAAAAGAATATGGCCTCCTGATTGGGAGAAGGCTTATTAACAGCTTTCGATATGCAGATGACACAACCTCGCTTGCTGAAAGTTAAGGAGGACTCGAAACACTTGCTGATGAAGATCAAGACTGCAGTCTTCAGTATGGATGACAGCTGAGTGCAAAGAAAACCCAAATCCTCATAAGTGGATCAATAGGTAACATCATGGCAAATGGAGAAAAGGCTGGAGTAGTCAAGGATTTTGTCTGGATTAGATCCACACTCAATGCTGGTTGAAGGAGCCACCAACACGTTGCACTGGGTAAGGCAGCCTAAGACCGCTTTAAAGTGTTGAAAAGTAAGAATGTGTCTTTGCGAACTAAAGGGACAAGCTATGGAATATTCCCTGGTCTCCTATTCAAGTGAATAAGGAAGACCAAAGAAGAATTGGTGCGTTTGAATTATGGTGCTGGCAAAGAAAATTGAAAGTACGTTGGACTGCCGAACAAGCCAAGAAATCTGTCTTGTAAGAAGCATACACAGAATGCGCCTTAGAAGCTAGGGCGGCGTGACTTAGTGTGGCCTACCTAGACATGTTTTCAGGCAAGATGAGTCCCTGGAGAAGGACATCATGCGTGGTAGAGGGGCAGTGCAAAAGAGGAAGGTCTTCGACGAGCTGGATCGACAACAGTGGCTGCAACCCTAGGCTCAAACAGGAACAGTTGTGAGGATGGCACAAGAGTGGGCAGTGTTTTGTTCGGTTGTACACAGGGTTGCTGTGAGTTGGAAGTGATTCGACAGCACCCAATAAC